AAAGTGGGAAACAAAGAAATGGAAAACTATTTCTAAGAAGAATTGTTTTGGGAGTGTTTGGTTTGCTAAAAAAAGAAGAAAATCAAAGAAATGAAGATGAGATGAGATGAGTTGTCACCTTATTATAGGATAATGTGAGTGATTTTTTTTAGAAAACATGTTTTGATGTTGTTTGGTTGGCGAAAAAAATAAGGAAATGAATTATAAAAAACCTATTTCTTGTAATAGGTTGTTTTCTTTTGTTTGTTTGGTTCATACTTAAAAATAAGAAAATAGATGAGATGAGATGAGTTGTCATTATATTATTGAATGATGTGACACACATTTAAGGAAATTGTTTTTCTAGCTTTTTGGGAGGAAATGAGTGGAAATAAAATGTTAATGGGATGAGATGAGTTGTCACCATCTTATTGGATGATGTGAGTGATTTGAAATGATGAGATGAGATGAGTTGAGTGATGTTGTGGATAAAAATAATATTTTATTAGATGTGGTGGATGAGTTGTTGGATGAAAATAATATTTTATTAGATGGTGGATAAGTTGTTGGATAAAAATAATATTTTATTAGATGTTGTGGGTGAGTTTTATTGATGGAAATGGATAAAATTGTACTTTTTGAGTTTTCTTTGTTTTCATTTCTATTTCTTGGTTTTTTACGAAATAACCAAACATGCCCTCAACAGAAATCCTTTCTTTTTGAAAAAGGAGAAGACAAGTCGATGTGAAGTCCATGGACTTATTAAAGCGAGTCTTTTTCTTTCCACTCCACGTAATTCTCTTTCATGGAAAGACTTGGAACGATGCACCAAGTCCAAGTCTCCAGTCCGACGAAGCGAACTGGTCCACCCATCAACTTGAAAGTTCAAGTACTGGCTCAATAAATCCATCAAAAGACCAAGACCCTGACTAACAACAGGTCTTGATGAAAACCATTCCTTAATTTTCTTCCGACTCATCTTAAAAATAAGGCAATTATATGAAAACCATTTTTACTTTCAATTTATATGTAAACTATTTTTAAAGTATGGGTTTTTGTTTCAATCAATCCCATCATAATCAAATTTTCACTAAGAAATTAAAAATCATATATATATCATACTCCCTTTAAAAACACGAGTTTAGTATTACCCTTCTCTATTTTACCCTTCTCTATTTTGAATATTACATTTAATTTAATCTATTCTAATTCTAATCATATCTTATCTAATCCCACAAGAAAGCCTAACAATTTAAAAAAAAATATTAACAAACTATGTGAAATATTATTTTAAATTTTTATTTAAATCTTAATCTATCTAAATACTAATTATATCCTATATTAACCCCACATAAACTACCTATAGCTCAACAATTAAAAAAAAAAGATTAAGATTTAATTCAAAAATTACACAAAATATCTTTAAAAGTTCAAATTTACCCAAAACACATTGACTTTTCAAAACTTAAAACAACGAACATGAAATGTAAAAACTAAAAATAGCCCCCGAGGAATTTAAAAATTACAATTATACCGTCAATATTTCTAAAATTGTAGAAACAACCTCAAAAGTTCAAATTAGAAAAAAGTACCCTAAATTCAGTGACTTCAAAACTTGCAAACAACATAGATAGATTTCAGTGATTACCATTAGGCACTTAAGAGCTTAAAATTTATAATAAATAACCTCAAAGTTACATAAACTATAAAAACTCCCTCAAAATTTAAAAATCACAAAATTCCTAAAATTTTAAAGCTTATAACTGGTAGACATTAAATCTGAAAATTATCAGTAGATTGTTGAAATTTTGAATTTATCAAAAAACAACTTAAAGTTTTAGTAATTGTAAAAAACACATTCAAAATTTTAGAGTTAAAAGACGCATCTTAACATTTGAAAACTTACCACCAACTCATAAAGCATAAAAATTACAAGACCCAACATAAAATTTAAAATTTTCAAAAAAAATATTAAAGTTAAAAAATTACAAAACACACCCTCAAAAGTGAAGTAAATCACAAAAGGTTGAAATTTGGCAAAGAAAAGAATAAATTTTTGATATTATTTCATTAAGATATATAAGTTTAAGTTTCAATTTAAAGTTTATCATCCATTTTCAGCATCGAAAAGTAGTCTAAGTTGACGCTGGTAAAAAATAACAATTACAATAGATTAAAACTATCCAGTTAAGGAATAAAATTTTTAAAAAATATATGATAGATTAAAAATTAACATTACTGTATAAATTTAAGGAATTACATATAATTTTACTAATAACATTAATTGATAGAAGACTAAATTGCATAAAACTAACAAAAGACTATAATATAATAAGTTAGCATTAATTGATTATAATATATAAACATTCATCTCTGATGTTAATAATATTTATAGAGTAAAAAAATACAATGAATTTTATATTAAAAAACTATCAGAAAGTTTAGAGATATCCTTTAAAAAATCAAGTTGTTTTTATTTCAAATAGAGAAGTGAAGTAAATAAACCCAAAATACGAAAACAGTCATGAATCGCTTAAACTGACATTGACGAAAAGTATAATTTTGTCCCAATTTAAAAAAGCATTCATCGTGAAAGATAAAAGAAAAATTATTTTGTATTTATAAATTTTCATACTTTATTCTTGAAATATTAAATGAATCATAAACTTAATATAAAATTACATATAAATGATCTTACAATAGAAACTAAAGTGAAGTTATTGATCAACTATGTTGTGAGATATAATAAACCAGATAAGATGAGAGAAATCACTATAATGGACAAAAGGTATATACATGATAATTAGTTGCAATAGCGTAAGTAAAAAAAATTAAAATTGATATTTTTCTTTTTCCTATATCTGGTATGACTCTGCAAGCAAATTTATTTGGGGATATAACTACCAGTAAATGATTAGTTTTTAAAGACACGATCAAAGATAAGCACATAATAACATTGTTAGATTTCAAGATCTTTAAATATTAAGGCAACATATTTTACTACTAAATTTTTTATTAAAGGTCACTCAACATAAAATTCACATTATATCTGTCTTAAATTTGTGAAAATATGCATGTTATTATAAATTGTGTTAACAATATATACCAACACAAAGATACAATTTATTGAAGAAATAAAAGAATGGTACGTAAACCAAGCAAACATACATATAACACAATAAATAAAAAATAGTACACTTTAAAGCTAATACGCATGGCTTATTCAGAATAAGCTGCTAATATAGAAGCATATCCATCAAGGCTCATTACAAATACAATACAAATTTAAACTATTGATATATGCAATAATCACAATTCACAATATCAAAGAGGTATGATCTTATAAGACATACTCATTTTCACAATTAAATTTAAAAATACTCTACCATTATACAGACACGCTATTGGACCTATAATGTAAAGATAACTACTATTTACAATAAATTTGAGTCGTGGTTCTAGCTTGCAAATGCTACAACAAGAAGATTGAATAGAGATGTTAATAAAAATTTTCAAATGATAAATATCACAGAATTACTAATAAAGTAGTACCAAGGTTGAGTAATATCACTTCTTTATGAAATAAACATATGAAAATTAAATATTAACATTATAATCTAAGCCAATTTGATAATAAAAAATGCAGTTATTTAGTTCAGATCATTATGGAAAATGATATAGATAAGAGTAAAAGTAACATTATTTAACGCGACAGAAACTCTTATTGGATACACACCAGAAGAATTTATTGCAGAGGAAAAAAGGGTAACTCCTAACATTTTAAAAAAAAATAAATTAGAAACACAAAAATTTCATAAATATGAAATAACATTTAGTCTCATTGAAACACAAAAATAATCAAAGTCTGTATTTCTAGAATTTTTGTTGAACATAAAAAATGCATTCAACTTCTCTGTGAAGTAAGACGAGAAGACAAAACATGAACGAGCTCAGAGAAAAATAATTACACAAGAAATTCAGCTCCAGCCTGATGTCACAATCAATATAGATGATGAAGACACAACTCTAGAATTGCTCAGGAATAAAATAAAGGTGGAGAAGGATTTATCTTAGCTCAATAAAAAAATAGAAAGAATAAAAGATTTTTTTTTCCGAATATTTTATAAAATAGCTTAATTTTTTGAGTAAAACCAGGAATCTTTAGAAATGATTTTCATGAACTCTTTTAAAATTTTTTATATGGTTATGTGGATGCTTTTATCATATAAAATATACTAGAGTTAGCATTAACCTTTAGTCAATGATTTTTTCTGAACTCAATCAATTAATTAGCAACAAACTTAATATTCTCTCTAGTTTCATTTTAAGCCACTTTAATTAATCATCTTGGCTTTTTTAGCTTTAATTATTCATCTTTCTTTTATAACACTACTTTTTTTAAAGTGTTTTTCACTTTTACAACAATATTCTTTCAAGCTTGGTTTCATGTCGGTCCAAATCACGCGAAAATTCAAATTGGCTTTAGATTACATTTGTTCCATGTTAATTTAATTATCAATATAAAAATTTAAATTTGGTGTAGCCCTTTCAAACAAACGTCAAAGAAAATAAATAATCACAATGCTAAAATTTAAAGGCATAAGTGAGCAAAAAAGATCAAAGTGGAACTGAGGAACAAATTTTAGTAAGGAAATAAATTAAAAATATTTAATCATGATATTTAACCACGTGCATTGCATGTGCATAAAACCTAGTAACCTTTAAAAATGTGTGTTTGAGGTAGGTGACTTGTATCATATCTAAACTTAAACATTAACTAAGTGAGTCCAGTGTCTTGAATTTGAGTTTTTTAAGGGTATTTTCGGGTTCTAATTGAAAAAAAAGGTTGACGAGAAAGTTGTTGGTTAGTGTTAAAATATAAAATAACGCTCAACCTCGGTTTTTTTTAAGGAGGGAGGGTTGGGGGGTTAGATGGTCTGAATATTGGAGATAAAGTTTGCTAGGGCTTCAGACAACATCTTCAATTTATAACACAGCCTTACATGTGAGTCAATTCCAAATGCTGCAAATTTTTTATAGATTGCATTGATCTCGGCTTTCCGAGGTATGTGCAAATTCAAATAGCAACGATAACAGCTCAGACAACAAGAAACTTCAGCAGAAAGTTCAAAAGAGACTGATACAGAGGGGATGAGCACATCACATACATCTCACCTTGGCATTAAGCATCAGCTAAAACTTGCTCTCTACACATTACATTTAGAAACTCGAACCAGATGTAGCTAATTGATAGAGACCGATGGTTTTTCAACTGCAATATGAGTATGTACATATCATTGGAGATAATTGGAATTGAGATAGGCGGTAAGGATTGAGAGAATTGGACCGTCTTCAATTACCACATAATTGGAGAGGATCTAAATCCCACTTCTTTCTACTCCACTCTCCTCAGAATCTAAACAGAATATCAGAACTTGAACACATTCATCCTCAAAGGAAGAACAGAGAAAAATACTGAAGTATGCAATGCACATTTCCCCAGTCGGGATGTAGATGATGCATCTGATATGTCTGGATTAAAAGAAGAATCAGCAGTCAGGTCAGCTGGGCGATGTACAAATGTACAAATGATTGAACTTCAAATAGAAGCAAAGAACGATCTTGCAAAGCATCATGGCAGGGGTTCTTGTGAATCGCCAAGCCGAGATAAATGAAGGTAAGCATCAGTTCCTATAAATAGCAAAATAAGAATGTGAGCATATACATGATTAAAAATCCAAACAGCAAAGCCAGGGCTAGTGCTTTTTATTTAAACCAAACAGAACAAGGAATGAACAAAAATGAAATCTCAACACTAAATGATGAACTAGCAATTTTCAATTGGCAGCTGCGTATAATACATTGAATCATAGATCAACTTGAGGCCCTAGCAGCCTTACTTTCTGTAATAAGGTAAGGAGAAATTCTATGCAGACTTGCATAGTGCCATTTCCTCTCTGAATTAACGTCAGTTCAGAAATAGTCCACTGTCCATGTTGCTAGATTTACCTTGATTTGATATTCTTTTCATAGGTAATGAAAGATCTAAGTCCACTGAGTAATAATCAAAAAGTACTAAAGGGTTATTGCACATAGACCCCCTGTACTATAGCCCAATTGTGGATAGGCCCCTTGTAGTTCTTTGGTGCGGTTAGACCCATTGAGTGAACCTTGTTGACTCTTAAGTGGTCAAAAAAATTCACCCAGGGGTCTATCTGCACTTGGCCAAGTAGTAGAGGGGGTTCATCTGCACCAACAGAACTAAAGGGGGGCCTATCCGTAATTGGGTGATAGTAAAGGAGTTCTAATTAAAATCCCTAAAAGTAGCCAGAAGTGATCAACTGAAATGTGCCTTCTCATGCCATCATTGTAAAGATGCAGCATGTATCAGGTTCAGCCGATAGTAGAAGGAAGCCATTATAGGGAACTAAGTTGCACATAAACCCTAGCGGTCCTTCATGCATCCAAAATGACATCAACAGTTGTCAAGATATGATTGCTAGTCTATGAACGCTTTGCTAATATTAATGCCACTATAACAGTGAGATAAAGCCTCTTACGATGCTGCAACAAGCCTGAGGTTCAAACCCCGCTTATACCAGGCTTTAATCTTTCCTCATCATATAGGAATATGAGTAGACAATAAAAGAATTGCTGATCAATAAATAGCCTGGATAAGGCTAAGAATAACGAAAAAGTGATTCTGTAGTCACATAACGGTGGGGGTTATACTTTGCAAATGCAGAGGGCGATTGACATTGATTGGTAGAAAGCTCCCAGGGACTGCGATGCGCGTGTGTGTGTGTGATGCAGGAAAATTTTGGGCAGTTATAGAAAAAAAATCAAAATTTTATCTCATTGGAAGAGTTCTAATTCATTAGATCAGAACCAGATAATTACTTTTGGAATTAGATATACAATTTTGAGTATAGATTGGAAATTTGATTTGAATTTAAGATTAGACATTTGATTTCAATTTAAGAGTAAATATTTAATTTGAATTTAAGATTGAAGTGATCACTTACTTCTATTTTAATTTACATTAAGATCTAAATTTAAGTCTGTAGCCGTAGACTTTATATATTGTAAGATTCAGTTTTTTAAGAAAATGATTTGATTTTGTATGAAAATTCATTTGTTGCATGGGACTTCGCTCTTTCTGCTGCTGCCGCCAGCCACCAAAAATCCCTTGTCTTTCTCTATTTGACTGCAGCAAAACCCGAACAGCAGCCAGCCAGCTACTTCTCCCGTCTCCTTTCTTTGTTCTGCATCCAGAACAACCATCGAACCCAGAACAACCCAAAAACACTCCAAGATCCTTTCTTTTCCATCCAACAGCACCAAACTATCATGCAGTTCACTGCCATCCTCATACCCAATCCCCATCGGGTCAAAAACTTCACACATCAGGCCAAACATTAGTATGGTATCATTTCCAACATCAATTACCTCAGGAATCTAAAAAGTGGCCCCTTCTGCATTAAGGAAAAGCTTTTCTTAGAGCAGTTTTGATGAGGATAAGAAATGACAATTTCTATATTTGATTAGTTGACTTTCTTTTATTTTTTATTTTTGAAATTTGAAATTTGAAATTTGAAATTTGAAATTTGAAATTTTGTATTTTGAATTTTTGAATTTTGAATTTTGAAATTTAGTTGAGTGAGGGATTGTTGTTTTATTTCTATTTTTTTATTGCACGTTGTGTGCATGTAGTTTTTCTTTATAAATAATGTTGTATGAGAATATTGAAAGACAATGAATTATTGAATGAAAAATTACATTAGCTAAAATTTGGTGTGAAACCTTGGGTAAGAAACCCTAGGTCGTTCCTTGTGTCTTCTTCCTCCAGCCGCCAAGCATTCCCTCGTCTTCCCCACGTCAACAATCAGTCAAACTCTCCTCTTCCCTGCAGACCACTAGTCCCACACCCAGCCCGCCCCTGATCTCCACCTCCGACCACCAGCACCATCATCTCTTCCCAAACAGCCGCACCACTAGTGCCATCATCTCCTCCCAGGCAGCCGTCCTACTCCCATCGCCACCGAGTCTCCCTTCTCAGCAACTGTCGCCTTCATGTATAAGAAATATTTGACAAAATTCTCCACCAGAACAACACTACCATTGCCACAACCGCTTACCACGGATCATCATATCGCTATCATTCCGTCGTCCTTGCAGATTCGTCGCCGTCGCCGTCACTTAGTTCGCCACCGCGTCGTTAGCGAATTCGACATCGTCTCTCACATCGAGTCTGTTCAGACCGACGAAGGTTTCGCTTTCTTTATTTTTATGTTTATCTTATTTGATTAGTTAATTGCATGAGTATCTTGTCTCTAAACTATTATCATATATTCGCTGCTTAGATTAATATTTATGAGTTGAGGATAACTGAACATGTGACTGTTGAAAAATTAATATTGATTGTGGAACTGGTACAATGATAATGAATATTACGATTATATTGTTTGAGATTAGAATTGTTCATGATTATTGACACAAATCTCGTTAAATTCATGTGTCACATTAACTGTTTGAATTTAATTTCCTACCGAAGATTATGAATTTTGGCGAAACGGTGCGTTATTCGATTTAGATCGCTAATTCTGACAGACCCCTTGTCATCGTTTCGCATTATTTTTTGTATCAGAGCATGGTTCTAGGGTAGGAAATTTTTATTTTTTTAGATTAGTTGAGGGTGTGTTTGGTAATCAATGTGTTTTTTTGTTGTGTTTTTGTAAAAAACACCATGCTATAGTGTTTCTTTTTCAAATGTGTTTTGAAAACACTATTTTGGTCAAACTAGTTTGAAAATTGATAATTATGGCGGCGTTGGCGCGTAGCGTCGGTCGGCATGGCCGAGTGGCCAGGCGCACGGGCGGAGTGGGCGATTGACGATACGGTAACGACGGGTAGGACGGGCGGCACGAGGCGGGGCGGGTGGTGGCGCGACGGGCGCGGCGTTGGGCCCGTATGGTCGCCGACCAGGCGGATGACTGTGGGGGTGGCCGGCGGTAGCGAATGGGTGGCGTGTGTGTGTGGCGGACCAGGTAGAGAGTGGCTCGGCGGCGGACGACGGTGTGGTACCGTCTACTGGTGGCGCACGGCAGCGTAGGTGGCAGGCACTGGCCGGCGAGCGAGCGGACTCGTGTGGCGGTTGCAGCGATGTCAGCGGTTGGGCGACGGGGAGGTGGAAGGGTGGCTGGAGATTAGCTGGACGAGTGCGGGCGACAGTGCTGGTATTGCGAGAACAGGCAGCGACGACAGTGCGGGAGTAGCCGTACGGGTCAGCAGACGCTGCGGCAGCGACGGCAAGACGGGACGACGGTCGTTGGGCGATCGGTGGCTGCGGGGTGACGCAGGTCAAAGGGCGAGCGGGCGGCGGCGGCGAAGGACGGTGGCGGCATGAGCGACACCGAGCGGGTCTACGGCTTAGATGAAAAAACTAGGATCTTGAATACACCATTTTTGATGTTTTGAGAAAAGTGTTTAATTTTTAGATTTTGTAAAGGGACAAGTCAAAAAACGTCCTGATTGCCAAACACATTTCTTTGTTTTTGTTGAAAAAAAAACAGAAACGGTAAAAACGCCACGGTTGCCAAACGCTCTCTTGAGTTTTTTATTTGATTTTAAAAAAAAACCTCATTCATCTCATTTAGCGGTTTGTGCACACCATTCATCTCATCTAGTTAGTACATGTCCACTCGCACAGGTCTACCCTATCGATTAGGAGAGTCAAGTGAGTCAACTAGTGAGTCAAGCATGTCAGGCAATATAGAGTCCGAACTCTTAAGAAATTCGTTGAACTAGCAGCACAATGTGACGATACAAATGAAAGGCTTGCTAGGCTCGCAGAAGCGCGTGTTACAACTCCGCCACCGCAAGGTCAAGGGAATGGTCATGGGTACATCGTTCATCGACCCCCACTTCAACCCGTGCATGATCCACTAACCTTTGATGGTAGGCTCGATCCAGAAGCTTTCTTGGATTAGTTGAAGAACATGGATCGATACTTTGACTGTTATCCTTTGACGAAAACCCGCAAAGTCAAGTTTGCCGCAATGAAGCTCATCGGACCCGCCTACCAATATTAGCCCAACCTCGAAATGTTAAGACATATTAGAGGTGAGTTACTAATTTTTACTTGGCGAGAAATGACCGACGAACTGAAACGGAAATATCTCCCGTCATCGTTTTATCATAGATTGCTAGACAAGAGACATCGTCTTACTCAGGGAACTAAATCCGTAAAAGAATACGTTGCTCAATTTGACGAATTGTTTACTCGATGCAGCACCATAGAGCAAGAGGTACCAATGAAAGTTTTATCAAAGTTTAGAGCTGGATTGAGAAGTGACCTCCAAACCGAACTTTTTGCTAGAGGAGTAAACACCTTGAGAGAGCTTACGCCTTAGTTTAAGATTTAGATGAAGCCAAATTCCACCAATCTCATTGGGCGCAGGATTTTCGAACACTTTCCTCCCAGTCTTCCCATGCCAATACCTCTAGTCAGCCTCTGAGTCGATCTAACCCTAGTTCTTCCTAGTCTAGAGTCGATCCCAAGGGCCAGAAATCAGAGAGATCTCTCTCCAAACTTAGCCCAATAGTTCAGTGTTATAATTATCAATTATATGGGCACGTTGCTTTCGTTTGCACAACTCCGTTCAGAGTTAGAATTAATAAGCCGTCTATAA